CATGAATTCAACTATCGAAAACAGTCAAAATGCTAATCTTTTGGGTTGGTTGCCAATAATCGGAATCCTCCACAAGGAAAAAACTTTAGAAAAAAGGATAGACACAGTCCATTACAGATGTTCATTTTTCTATTGTCCAGTATAACTCATTCTTATTAAACAGTGTGTAGTAATATTAATTCAGAATGAAGTCGTACAATGAAGCCATTCTCAATCAACCGCAAAGTCTCGGCATGAAAATAATAGCAATTCGCGGCAACTGAAATGTAGGAAGTATGTTAAATTTTTGGACTCAAGTGCTATGAAAACCGGAAACTGGTATGACATTTCATTTTCTAATGGCCAGAAAAACTGCTTAGATACGAGCAAGACTTGACTTGAGATGGTTCGAACATTAACTGTCCTTTCCGGAAGATCTAATTATTACCCACTGCACCATCGACATCATTGCTGTGTATCATTGGGCAATGTTTCAACGCTCTTGATGATCTGAACGACAGGATTAATCTCGGGATCACAATTCCTCTCTGAGCCAACTCAACGCGAATTCATAGTTGTGACTACAATTCTAACGTTGAGTTCCTGTTCATGTTTTATCATAGCAGGGTACTCTGGGATGCGTTAATCGTCTGAAGTCAATGTATTTGTAAAAAGGCTCTAACACTACTTCTAGTTGCAATGCAGCAAAAATTATTTTGGCTGCTATGAAATTTCTGTGGCAAACCCTAGATATACTATATGAAGCTTGGATGTGCGTTCTGCCCTGTCAAAGCACGACTAAGGGTGCCATCGTTCTCGTACAAGATCTGCGTCTTGAAAAAAACCTACCGGCCAGATTTGGCAGTTTTCTTACTGTGTGCTTGAGCCTCTTGTGAAATTCTCATTCGGTAGCTAAACGCCCAGGACCAATAATTTTCGTAGAAAAAGATGATGTATCAGTTTAGTTTTAATGAACAAGCTATCATATATAATAGTGGCTAATACTTTACCATTCATAATTATAAATCCTCCTTCCAGAAAAAGTATACTCTCAAAATGAAAAACAAATAATAATCTAAATTTGTAAATTCGGTTGGCTGAATAACAATATTGGTTCTTTTCTAGTAGCGAAAAACAAAAGGGAAACTACCGCTTTTGCTGGATAGGAATTTGTAATGTGAGTGTGAGTAATAATCTGAAAGCTCAAATCTCTGGCTACTGCACTTGCTGAATTATGGGTGCTGAGTGTCGTAACGCTATTGTTTTGAGCTGAAATGGAAATCAATGCTTAGAATAGACATTAGCAAGAACAGTGATGAAAATAAGTTCAAAAGAGATAAACGCTGACCATTTTGCAAACATCTTCGGCTCGAGGTTGATCTGTAATCGTATAGATTATTAGCTTTCCTCCATTCGTACCAATGACGAAAAGATTAATTGTCTAAAACATTTGCAAGTAATGTCAATTGAAAGTAAAGTATAACAATGGCTCAAATAACAGTGCATCACAAACATTTGTCCACTTCGGCTGTTTCTCACCCGATAGCATATTTTATGCCTTTCAAGGGTCTGCTATAGTACTTCTATTACTGATTGTACGTTTCCGCTTTCTAGCAAGCCTCGTCAGTAACACGCTGTCTATCGGTTCAATCGAGCCTCTGCATCTAAGGATATCGGCGTCGTACGCGTTCACTTCACGTCAAGTGAAAAGACCACTCAACATTGCAGTGGTTTACAGTCTACTGCTCGACAGCTGGTAAAACACATATAATCATACCTTTTCAACGACTGTGCTGAGATCTAGGTTGAAATTAAATATAATTTGATAGCATATTTTGAGCTTTTAAGAGGTCTGGCATAGCACTTTTAGTGCTAGAGGTACGTATGTTTCGGCTTCCTAGTAATCATTCACGCGTGTAGTGTAACATGTTCAGTGCTGGTAGTCTCAGTTGTAGGCGTGCGGTCAAATAGAAAGGCGTCGTGCTACTGATAAGGCTTGCTAGAAAACCGAAACGTATACGTAGCATTCAAAGTGCCATACCAGACCTCTGAGAGGTTCAAAATAAGTCTCACATCTTTGACTCAAAACTGAGGTCGAATTCCAACAGAATGACCACCAAAATCCTTATGCCGGAAAGCGATCACCAGGTGTATGCATATTGAATTCAAAGTATCTGTGTGAGTTCAGCGCGGCTGACAATTTATCAAAGAAAATTTCGAACACTGGGGACCATTTTATTCTATGATATGCGCAACCGAAGAGATGTCTGCACGGATTCTGGGCAAAAAAAAAAGTAAATATTGAAAATGCGTGATCTAATTCGGTCATGAGCAACAAAAACACCTTTCTAAGCATTCTATTTAACAAGATAATTAGCTCTCATTGTTTTCACAAAAATTTTTCGAATTTCACAAGACTAAGAAGTAATAAGCCAGTAGTGATCTCCTCTTCACCATATGTGTTTATAAATGTACTAGATGTTTCAAAAGTTTAGGCACTAGGGCAATAGCTACTAAACTTATTAACCAGAAGTAAACAGAACTGAATAACTTTAGTATCGTTCAAATGCGCAATTTCTTGCGAACATTTTGGCGTCCAACTTGTCTATACATCTCTTAGATGGAGCTGTTTCAAAAACAAATTTGCTTGCTACTCATGCACTGGCGCGTACGAGAAAATGCTAATGAAGTTGTGCGCAACATTTATGGAGCTTGGGGCAATGATAAGGTTGCAGAAAGGACGGCCACGAAGTGTTCGCAACATTCAAAACTGGAGAGAACAGTCCAAAGGATCAGTCGCTATCGGGCCGTTCATAGGAAGCTCCATTAATCTTACGCGCCGCTCCAGTAGCGTTTTCCCTTACGCGCCATTCGCGCATCAGAATGATCGCAAGAAAATGCGCAATCGAACGATAAAAATTCCATGATATTTCATTTGATATTGGCTACTAAATTTGGTGTTTATTGCTCTAGCGCCAAAACTTATATTAACCATGGAACGACTTAGTAGTTTAACAACAGTACTTCATAACTACTTGGAATATTACACATAATATAGGCTTCTGATATTTAACAGAAATTGCAATCGACTATTTTGAGATCTCTCTCAAGAACTATATATAACTATGTATTTTGAGCCTTTTGAGCTCTTGATATTGTACTAAAAATACAAGTAGAATGGAAATTCAAACGATGATATCAAAACGCTCAAGCCCATCAATGTTGCAAATATTCCACGAAAAGAAGTGAGGGGAAAAAAAGTCATAGGAGAAAATCCACTACACATACCCCTGCAATTCCCAATACTGGAACACTAAGGAATCTCAGCGATCGAATGAACCACGCCGGTGAGTCCACTGAAATACCGGCTTATAACTATTACACATAGTTTGCAATGACACATACTAAACAACAATAATAAAATTTATTCTAAGTTAAAGATAAAAGATTCAGGCTCTCAGCGTTGTTCAATCCCTAAGGGATGCGCTATGCATTCGTCTTTAATCTTCAACTTCGATTGAGCTTTGAATGCATATCTGGCCTTTGCAATAACTAACGCAATGGCCTCCCGCTATACAAGTCAGTGTTGTTTATCTTCCCAGACAAGTCTGAGACCAGTCTAATACCAGTTTACCGACCCCGGAGAGATGAATGACTTGGTGAGCCATGAGCGACCTTGTGTGTGACGCAGAGCACCTCTAACCTCAGCGCCACATGGGCCACTCCAAGCTAACGACTGGAAATTCTGATCTTTCCGAAAAATGTAAATGATCCCATGCCTGTTTGCGCGTTATGGAAGGCATAAGTCAAAGTTTTAGAGCTGGTGGTGATCAAAGTATGTGAGCGTCTGATCATAACCAAGTGCCTCTGACAGAGCCTTTAACTTATAGAGGATGACAAACAACGAATACATCTGCAACTGAGGCCAGATATCCAAGGATGATGAGTGTACCAAAAACTATCGGCCAAAGGCGGGTATTGAACACGCGTTTCACCCTTACTGGGGGCATGTGCTGCCACTACACCACGAAGGCCAACGCCCTACTACCTTTCTTTCTTTGATGGCCTAAAATGATTGAACAGTTCAACTATTAACAATCAAATTTCGATCCATAGTGAGATCTCTTGATCAAAATGAAAACCCCAGACTCTAAATATCCAAAACAATCAAACAGTCAGGACTTATAGAAACACAGCAGCGTGAAATCCTCTAAACTATCTTAAAGTTTGCAGCTGTAGCGCTTGAAACTTTAGAACAACAATTTCCACTTCTAATTTTCGATAAATTTCAACTCTAAACTGAGTTGAAATAAAAAGAACTTCTCATAAACCACATACATAGGGTCAATAAGAACACCTTCTTTATAAGACTACCACGATCTGTACACCTCGTCTACGTTTGTTATTGATGAATTACCCACAACTATCAAAAAACAGCATCGGTGGCTGTGGGTTGATATCTTCTCCTCCACTACAGCATTACACTTTCACCCGTTTTCCAGTCGTATCCGCATGATAATACGAAAATTATTACAGTTTCCAATAATGTTGAGTGATAAGCAAAACTCTGAAGGTCAGGCGAGAATGGTCAAACTTCCCGTCTGGCGTTCAAAGTTTTGCATATTACTCAACATTACTGGATATATAGTGCTCAGTGGTTGGAGGTCGCGCAGAAGGTCGATGGTTCGATCTCGCGTTCATGGCTCACGAACTCATCCACTCCTCTGGGATTGGTAAAATGATACCACACTTGTCTGGTAGGATAATCAGCACTGACTCGAATATAGCGATAGGTTATCGCATGTTATTGCAAAGACGTTAAAGGTGGTATGCATTAAGTCACCTTGAACGAAGTTAAAAATTGATGATGAATGCATGGCGCATTCCTCAGGGAGTGATCAACTTCAACAGCTTGAGTTTTTTTTTTCTCTATAATGTATTGAAGCGGCTGAACAAAAAGCATTCTAGCTCAGCTTCCACTTCATGTTCTCTGCTAGAGTATTTTTAATGCGTGAAAGTGATCAGTGGTAAGCAATTTGAGTGAAAACTGGTAGGAAGTCTTTCAAATGCGCTGGACAGAACCCAAACTTCTAGAATCATCATGCGTACAACACATTTGGAAACAAAAAGCGCACTAATATTCTTCTCGCATGCATCGCAATTTCTGGAGTCTGCCCTAGGGCAAGTAATAATGTAACGTAGGCGAGATAAATGCTCCAGGTCTAGGATCTCGTGCTTTACGCTTCTTTTATAACCATGCTATACTACTTTTTTGAGCTTCTCAGTTCACTCTCTGCTCTTAAAAAAGCAGCGGAGTCAAGTGATTCATTAAGCAAACTTCAACCTCAAGGCGCTCAGTGCTATACCATTTGACAAAGTCTCTCCTGTTGGATGCAAAATGAACACAAGGCATAGATCCAATTATCATGCGAATCGTTCAAATGGTTACATCAAATGACGCACGCTCCGCAAACCAAACTACTCTCTAACGTTGTGAAGACGATCATCAGTAGAACTAACATCGGTTACCTTTCACTTCCATGCTAATCCTCTAGAATTTCAAAATTACGTTGCCGAATTCGATGAAACAAGTTGCCGGTGAAATAGTACTGTTCACTAGAATACTTTTTGTTTCCAAATGTGTTGTACGCATGATGATTCTAGAAGTTTGGGTTCTGTCCAGCGCATTTGAAAGACTTCCTACCAGTTTTCACTCAAATTGCTTACCACTGATCACTTTCACGCATTAAAAATACTCTAGCAGAGAACATGAAGTGGAAGCTGAGCTAGAATGCTTTTTGTTCAGCCGCTTCAATACATTATAGAGAAAAAAAAAACTCAAGCTGTTGAAGTTGATCACTCCCTGAGGAATGCGCCATGCATTCATCATCAATTTTTAACTTCGTTCAAGGTGACTTAATGCATACCACCTTTAACGTCTTTGCAATAACATGCGATAACCTATCGCTATATTCGAGTCAGTGCTGATTATCCTACCAGACAAGTGTGGTATCATTTTACCAATCCCAGAGGAGTGGATGAGTTCGTGAGCCATGAACGCGAGATCGAACCATCGACCTTCTGCGCGACCTCCAACCACTGAGCACTATATATCCAGTAATGTTGAGTAATATGCAAAACTTTGAACGCCAGACGGGAAGTTTGACCATTCTCGCCTGACCTTCAGAGTTTTGCTTATCACTCAACATTATTGGAAACTGTAATAATTTTCGTATTATCATGCGGATACGACTGGAAAACGGGTGAAAGTGTAATGCTGTAGTGGAGGAGAAGATATCAACCCACAGCCACCGATGCTGTTTTTTGATAGTTGTGGGTAATTCATCAATAACAAACGTAGACGAGGTGTACAGATCGTGGTAGTCTTATAAAGAAGGTGTTCTTATTGACCCTATGTATGTGGTTTATGAGAAGTTCTTTTTATTTCAACTCAGTTTAGAGTTGAAATTTATCGAAAATTAGAAGTGGAAATTGTTGTTCTAAAGTTTCAAGCGCTACAGCTGCAAACTTTAAGATAGTTTAGAGGATTTCACGCTGCTGTGTTTCTATAAGTCCTGACTGTTTGATTGTTTTGGATATTTAGAGTCTGGGGTTTTCATTTTGATCAAGAGATCTCACTATGGATCGAAATTTGATTGTTAATAGTTGAACTGTTCAATCATTTTAGGCCATCAAAGAAAGAAAGGTAGTAGGGCGTTGGCCTTCGTGGTGTAGTGGCAGCACATGCCCCCAGTAAGGGTGAAACGCGTGTTCAATACCCGCCTTTGGCCGATAGTTTTTGGTACACTCATCATCCTTGGATATCTGGCCTCAGTTGCAGATGTATTCGTTGTTTGTCATCCTCTATAAGTTAAAGGCTCTGTCAGAGGCACTTGGTTATGATCAGACGCTCACATACTTTGATCACCACCAGCTCTAAAACTTTGACTTATGCCTTCCATAACGCGCAAACAGGCATGGGATCATTTACATTTTTCGGAAAGATCAGAATTTCCAGTCGTTAGCTTGGAGTGGCCCATGTGGCGCTGAGGTTAGAGGTGCTCTGCGTCACACACAAGGTCGCTCATGGCTCACCAAGTCATTCATCTCTCCGGGGTCGGTAAACTGGTATTAGACTGGTCTCAGACTTGTCTGGGAAGATAAACAACACTGACTTGTATAGCGGGAGGCCATTGCGTTAGTTATTGCAAAGGCCAGATATGCATTCAAAGCTCAATCGAAGTTGAAGATTAAAGACGAATGCATAGCGCATCCCTTAGGGATTGAACAACGCTGAGAGCCTGAATCTTTTATCTTTAACTTAGAATAAATTTTATTATTGTTGTTTAGTATGTGTCATTGCAAACTATGTGTAATAGTTATAAGCCGGTATTTCAGTGGACTCACCGGCGTGGTTCATTCGATCGCTGAGATTCCTTAGTGTTCCAGTATTGGGAATTGCAGGGGTATGTGTAGTGGATTTTCTCCTATGACTTTTTTTCCCCTCACTTCTTTTCGTGGAATATTTGCAACATTGATGGGCTTGAGCGTTTTGATATCATCGTTTGAATTTCCATTCTACTTGTATTTTTAGTACAATATCAAGAGCTCAAAAGGCTCAAAATACATAGTTATATATAGTTCTTGAGAGAGATCTCAAAATAGTCGATTGCAATTTCTGTTAAATATCAGAAGCCTATATTATGTGTAATATTCCAAGTAGTTATGAAGTACTGTTGTTAAACTACTAAGTCGTTCCATGGTTAATATAAGTTTTGGCGCTAGAGCAATAAACACCAAATTTAGTAGCCAATATCAAATGAAATATCATGAATTTTTATCGTTCGATTGCGCATTTTCTTGCGATCATTCTGATGCGCGAATGGCGCGTAAGGGAAAACGCTACTGGAGCGGCGCGTAAGATTAATGGAGCTTCCTATGAACGGCCCGATAGCGACTGATCCTTTGGACTGTTCTCTCCAGTTTTGAATGTTGCGAACACTTCGTGGCCGTCCTTTCTGCAACCTTATCATTGCCCCAAGCTCCATAAATGTTGCGCACAACTTCATTAGCATTTTCTCGTACGCGCCAGTGCATGAGTAGCAAGCAAATTTGTTTTTGAAACAGCTCCATCTAAGAGATGTATAGACAAGTTGGACGCCAAAATGTTCGCAAGAAATTGCGCATTTGAACGATACTAAAGTTATTCAGTTCTGTTTACTTCTGGTTAATAAGTTTAGTAGCTATTGCCCTAGTGCCTAAACTTTTGAAACATCTAGTACATTTATAAACACATATGGTGAAGAGGAGATCACTACTGGCTTATTACTTCTTAGTCTTGTGAAATTCGAAAAATTTTTGTGAAAACAATGAGAGCTAATTATCTTGTTAAATAGAATGCTTAGAAAGGTGTTTTTGTTGCTCATGACCGAATTAGATCACGCATTTTCAATATTTACTTTTTTTTTGCCCAGAATCCGTGCAGACATCTCTTCGGTTGCGCATATCATAGAATAAAATGGTCCCCAGTGTTCGAAATTTTCTTTGATAAATTGTCAGCCGCGCTGAACTCACACAGATACTTTGAATTCAATATGCATACACCTGGTGATCGCTTTCCGGCATAAGGATTTTGGTGGTCATTCTGTTGGAATTCGACCTCAGTTTTGAGTCAAAGATGTGAGACTTATTTTGAACCTCTCAGAGGTCTGGTATGGCACTTTGAATGCTACGTATACGTTTCGGTTTTCTAGCAAGCCTTATCAGTAGCACGACGCCTTTCTATTTGACCGCACGCCTACAACTGAGACTACCAGCACTGAACATGTTACACTACACGCGTGAATGATTACTAGGAAGCCGAAACATACGTACCTCTAGCACTAAAAGTGCTATGCCAGACCTCTTAAAAGCTCAAAATATGCTATCAAATTATATTTAATTTCAACCTAGATCTCAGCACAGTCGTTGAAAAGGTATGATTATATGTGTTTTACCAGCTGTCGAGCAGTAGACTGTAAACCACTGCAATGTTG